TCCCCCCCCTTTTTTTATAATATAGGGTAAATTGCTACTTTGTAAGAGTCATTAGCATTTTTTTAAAATGTTCTGGGTTTAATGTATTGAGCTATAAAGAATAAGAAAAGATCCTTGAAGAAGGGTAGGAATAAAAATTCCAAGAAAAATGTAATTGCTTCACACTTGAGGGAGACTAAATATGAATTCTGATCAGTTGCTTTCCAGTCATTCCCCCCCCAACATTCTATTAATTCACAAACTACCTTAATTAGTCTACTTTAAATAGCAAGTTCAGCTGATATATACATATCTGTGAACACATGTCCATCTGACTTTAGGCATGAAACTCTGAGTGGAATGACTATACTATAAAGCAGCACCTAGCTGATGCTATATATACTGCAGTTATTAAATAGGTATTTTTAATATATTTTTTAATTTCAAGAAAAGCAATTTTAGCTTCAACAAATCAAAATTTTAAAAATGCTAACAGTTTTGCTTAAAACTTAAAGTCAGGAAATAGGTTAGGATTCTGTTCAAATAGTAGGTACATGAACCTATCAGCAGCTCAAGATAAGACAAAAATCCTTAAATCTGGAAAAGAAAGCATAGAAGAAAATAAGTAATGTTTTAGTCAAGAGTCATAAGGTTCTATTTCACCAGTTCAGTCTTATGTACTTTACCTTCTGTTGTGATCCAATCTTACTGAAATTCTGGAACATAACATTCAACTACAGACCTGTCCCTACTATTTTTTTTTATATTTCAATTTATTTATTTGCATTCATTCACTGTACATCATTACAGCATACAAAATGAGATTTTCCATCCAGAGTTCACTGTATATTGTCTCAATCAAGCATATCAACAAACATGTTAATGTCAGCAAATAATTTTCCATTTCTTGTTTTCTGTATTTTTTGCTTTTTTTTACCCCCTCCATCCTTGATTCCCTATCTCTTACCCTCTGCCATCTCCCACTCTCCTCCCATACTGTCTCTGGTATCTATGTTTGCTTTCTATACTGTTTTTCCCCCACGTTTTATCGAATTACTAAAGACCTTAATTAATCCAAATGTTTTCATAGCAAACACAGGTGACATATACATTTCCATGAACACAAGTCTAACTTTACACATCCTATAAAGTAGCACCTAGATGAGGCTATATATCTTACTGCAGTCATTGAATAGATTTTTTTTCCTGACACATTTTTTTTGTAAATTATTTACATTCTTTC